GTGAGGTGACTGGGAAACAAAAACAAAGTCTTGCTGCAGTGTTTAATTGTCCATTGTCACCACAGCACTGACTTGACCTAAATTTTATATCTGATGGCCACTTGCTCCTACCAAACGTAGAGACGAAGGCCTTATGCTTAATTTGAGTTTGTCAACTATTGGCGCCATAATAAAGCTTTTGACAGCTCAAGAATCCAAGATGCCTTTAATAGTTTGTCCAATGATGGTAACTTGAACAGAAAAAGTACCCGCTTCAGAGGCACATGACACCTGCTCAATTATTGGCGACTGCTCGCGGGCATCGGCGTCACCAGCTGTTCGTTTTCCGGCTGTTATGAGCTGGAAGATTCGAGGTCTTGCTGCCACTTCAAAAATTCTGCAGTTAGAGGTAGACGACACTGTGTGACAAAATGACTAATTTTGGAGCAGTGCAAGCGCAGTTTACTAACTCTCGGGGTATTTCCTTACGACCTTTCAAAAACACGCATTGGAAATGAGTCGATTTCCGCGATGGTGATGGCTTCGCTTTCGTATTCCTTCTTTTAGCAACTTTCTCCGAGCTACTTCACCATCTGAGGAACAGCTAGACTCTATGCTGTCTGAACGTTGACGATGGCGCATAGGCTTCGGAGGCGAACGCTTTGTCATAACACGGCATTCGGAGGACGGCGTTGTGGATGGCGTTTCGCGTTCTTCCGCAGCCAAAATTTGAATCGTCTCCTCCAAATCCCTGATCTGGTCAAATCGCCGAAAGGAGCTTATCATATCGTCTAGACGTTTAGATGTTTTATTAAAAAAGTGCTTATTTGCCTTGGGTGACAGAGTAGCCATCATAACTTGGCACTTTTTCTGTTGTAGTACAGGATAATTGCACTGCTCTATCAATTCCAGCTTTTGGTATGCGAAGTCTGTACATGACTAGCCTGCGCGTTGCGTTGCGCCGAACATTCACTGCTTAGATGTTACATCGCAGTCCATGTTATGACGTCGGCAGAACGCTGCCTTCATGTCAGCACAAGTACTGATATTAGCAACCTTCGTGTGGTGACACATCCATGTAAAGTCTTTAGCTGAGAGCCTTGAAATAATAAATGGTATGGCGACCTCAATGGGAACGCAGAGGGCTCCAAACCAATAGTTAACTTAATGAAACCAGACATTTATATCTTTCCCGAGATGTGGTAAAGAGCTCACCGCGAAACTCGAAAGATGGTCGCGAGCGTCTTCACTATTAGACATGCACACGGGAGTATCGCTTCTGGATGATCTTTGTTTCTTTCTCGAGCCGCGTTTGAGATTTATCGACGCACTGTTCTCTTCTGCACTCGTGCTTGATTGGGCATTTTCACGCCTTTTTAACTCCAGACGCTCGATGCGCTCTATTAGTGCAGCAAGTAAGTTACACAAGAAGTCATGACTTGCCTTCATCTGCTAGTCAAGCGACGGTTTTGGTGCGTCGTGGTATTTGGCGGCGTCGTGGTCCTGGATAAATATCAGTTTCAGTTCCTCCAATTCACTCTGAAGCTGACCCACCTCAGTCTTTATGACATCGGCTTTTGGACAGAGCTGACTGGTAGGCTTCCAACCAGGTGGCGTCATCCAGCTGCTCTAACACGTCGACAGGACATGGAGACGTCGCCATCTTGGGATCACGGAGCTGACGCTATTCAAATGTCAGTGATTGAGCCAAAAGAGCCCGCAGGGAGCGACGTCCCCGCACAGAAGTAAACGCCTTCTAAGTTCACCTCGAGCAGTTGGGCGCCAATTGTGACGTGCCGATGAGGCCGTTGGATATACTGGGTTCCGAGGCAGCCTAAGAAGAACGTTCACACTGTCAAGATCAGGAAGGGGCTGCCAGACTCCGTTTTTTATTTCAAGTTCCTCGAGCACCTGCGAGTTCTGCGCCGATCTTCTTCGTTTTCCTTGCGCAAAAGCGCGCGACACGCACCGAGCGTCTTGTGCTATCGCTCGTCACAATTCTATTCACTGTATTAAGCTAGAAGACTATTGTCTTTCGACGATGTTCAGAGACGAACATGCAGGTACGGGGCCAATCTTTTAGTAAGTGTTTCAATGTGTAGGGATTTTCGTGACTTTGTTTAATAAATGTTTTTGTGGTATGTGACATCCTTCTTGCTTCTCTTAGATTCTGCGAGGCTCAAACCAAGGAAGCTCTTATTACCATAGGACGAACCTGCATTACAGGGAGGATAGCTACACTTGTCTGGTTGCAGGTTAAGGTATACCTCCGAATAACACAGCGAAAAGAGACCTTCCTATTGTTCTTCCCAGAACTCCCACTTTCTTACAAAGGTTCGAGCTGAAAATAGGTGGTGCCTTGTGCAGTATATCGTGGTTGATATGTTTAGCCAGCTGATTACCACCAATTTCTGAATTATCCAGAATTCAGCGGAACAAACAGCCCGCAGGGGGAACACCAGCACATCACGTCAGTAAGTTGTGGTTCTGCATGGAATGAATTACAGCATAAAAGTCGGAGTATAGGATGTAACTGACAAAGAGGATTAGAAGGAAAACAACTGGAGCGCTTGAGCAATGCAAGCGAACCTAGTAGAACGGCCCACATGGCGGTGGCATGTTGCACATGCCAGTGTGAAGGTTCACTGCTTGCTTGTAAGCTTTCCCGGACGACGACGAAGTGTTCTGGTATTCAAGCGTTTGTCTCAGTGCTCTCCAATTTTTCCGTGAAACCTTCAGTTTTGTATAGTGCCTCGGCTCCACGTCTTGCGGTCATGGACGTAGGACCTCCCGGGGGACCACCTGGCCAGCAGTCATCTCGGCTGACCACCGTGAAGAAGAGAGAAACTTCACTCAGTCACAATGAGGACACAGAGCTCTACTCAGCTGCCTTGAAAGACAACTCATCCGACAATGATTTCATTCCTGCCTGGAGCAAGAGGACGAAAAGGAAGATCGTCAACGCAGCCTCACCCTCCTCTGCGAGTACAGCGACTATGAAGTCAAGGCATGAACGCTGGCCACACGTCATCATTTTTGGGCCAGAAGAGTTCTCAGTAAATCATTAACTGCTGAACAGGCAAGCACTCTCCGCTTTTTTGGAACGTGTGGTACCTAATGAAATCAAGGAAAGCTGAGTAAATACGCAAAAAAAGTATACGCGCCATAGACGTATTCCACGTGAATGCGCTTGGACCACTCAAACAAGTGAGTGAGCTAGGCGGCATCAAAGTGTGGCCCTTTACACCGATTTACGACTCATACATTGCTGGTGTGATATACGACGTAGACATTGCGATTCCTGATGCCGACTTGCCTACCTTCATCAAACTGGCAAATGAAGGTACTGTCATCACTCAGGTACACTTCCTTGGGAAGTCACGCTGTGTGAAACTGGTTTTCAATGGGATAGCACACCATTCCATGTCCAAGTCGTACATTTTCGTCATCCTGTTCGGCCTTTGTGCAAAAGCCACTTCAATGCCACCAGTGCTTTAAACTAGGTCACGTCAAGGCCGTATGCCCGAAATGGCTACGGTGCCCTCGGTGCACAGAGCCTTATTCGGAAGATGCGTGCCAGTCCACAGTTCTTAAATGCGGTAACTGTAATGGCTCACACACTGCCTCATCGAAAGCCCCGCCGCGGTGGTCTAGTGGCTAAGGTACTCGGCTGCTGACCCGCAGGTCGCGGGTTCAACTCCCGGCTGCGGCGGCTGCATTTCCGATGGAGGCGGAAATGTCGAGGCCCGTGTGCTCAGATTTGGGTGCACGTTAAAGAACCCCAGGTGGTCAAAATTTCCGGAGCCCTCCACTACGGCGTCTCTCATAATCATATAGTGGTTTTGGGACGTTAAACCCCACAAATCAATCAATCAACTGCCTCATCGAAAGACTGCCCTCGAATCAAGAAGGAGCGCACGGTGCTTAAGCAAATGGTCACAGACAATTTGACCCAGAGTAATGCTGCCGAAACAGTTTGGCGTCGGCAGCGGCGTTGGTGCCATCGTTCGACCTCGAAGACTGCGCAAGCTCGAAACGACAACGCCACCTCTACTGCTTCACCTGTAAGTCAAGCCCCGTAATAGGACCGACAAATTCAAAGAAGACTTCAAACAGGACTATCTCTACAGAGCAATGGCCTATTTTTCCAAATCATCCGCTAACCATGGAACGTAGGCAGACCACGCCCACTCAGGGGTCTTCACCAACCGCTGATGACACACATAAGAAAGATGGCAAAGTCAAAACTATGCTTAGTTCTCTCATGGATGCCATCCGGGAGATCTTGTTGCGCATGAGTGCAATGTCTGCTGGAAGCACTCTCAAAGTACTGGACACCTTCAGCCCAGTACTTGAATCGTTTGAAAAAATATGGCTAACAATCACCATCATTTCTAAGAAGTCAAGGAAGCTTCCATCATTCAGTGAAACCCCAGTGGACTAAAACCGCGCCTTTTTGGACTTGCGCCAAATAGTGCGCTTCAAAATTTCACAAGTCATGAACATTTGTGAACCCAACACGTGTGCAAGGTCTCCTTTCTTTAATGTTTTTCTATCTCTCAAACTCCCTCATCCCTACCCCCAATGTAGAGTAGCATACCGGTCGCTCAAGACTGGTTAACATCCCCGCCTTTCCTTTCCCTCCTGTTCCTCCTCTAAGCTTTCCAATTAACGTGATTTTTCTTTGAAAGCAAGGACACCCCACCGCGCACCTGCCGTGACAGGTTCCACTAACATCACCGGGGAAGATTTAGGATCAAGTTGATGTTAAGCATCTCTGGTTCTATTATTGATCGCTGGATCGGTGGAATAATACACACAAATTATTTACTCAGAGAATAGAGATTGCTGAAAGAAAATACCTGTTATAACGCTGTGTCTTCTTACAACTGTACGTATTCATGGCACCAGTTACGCAATTAGTGTGTCTTCAGTGGAACCTCCTGTCTCTTCAGATTACGTGACATCTTAAGGAGACGCTGTTTATCAATATATTTACACGACCTTTTTTCTATCTGCAGACTACGGGAGGAACAATGTACAACATTGGATTCATTGTCTCCCGGGGACCTACGGTATGATTTTAATAAGCTGCATGAAATGAACACCTATAATTTTTTTATAATGTTACAGTAAATACTTTCCACACATCATCCTACTTTTTATACACGTACCATGGTTCTGCCACAATATGTTGCCTGTGATCTACTCATAACGAACGTCTTCCTAAACAGCTGCGCTGATGAAATCTATCGCGTATGCTTCTTTCAAAAGCTATACGCCACAACTTTTCACACTTTAATGACACATTGATTTTTCCGCGAAAATTCCCACCAGCTTCAAAAGAAACTCTGTATTCAACAGATTACCGCTATGCTATATCATTCAGGAACTGTTTCTTGTCAGTAGCTCTTGAGGAATAAAAATTTTCAACTCGCTTTGTAGTAAGCCAAAGTGGGCTTATCAAGTTTTGAAGCACATAAAGGAATTTCTCTGTGCTGAATCGTAGCGAATGTGAGTGCTTGTTTTTCACAAGGTATATTCACTTTCCTCTAGTACGTGTGTACTTCGACAGTGTTGGCACTTCACCTGGTTCTCTTTTAAATATTACTTCCATTTTATATTCATTATTCATTACTGTTTGTACACTCATTTATGAGCACGCTCCCTCTTCCATGTCGTACCCTGGAAAACTGCTATAGGCTTATGAATATATGAAAACGGTGATGATTATTCGTGAACGAAAGTTCATTTCACTAATCTTCAAAGTACGAAATTCAAACATACGGTCAGCAAGGAAATTTTCCTTGATATTTCTTTCTGCCCTTGCCATAAATTACTGGTTTAAAGCGCTGTGCGCCTTTGAGACGTATCGATAGAGGCGCCTATCAGTGGCAGTTGCACCACGCACCTAGAGTCAATTTGCTATTGCTTTAATTATTTGGTATTTAAAAAACGAATCACTTCCCAATAAAGGTAATAAAAAGTCATTTGATATTTTTTTCGTGCGCGATTGTTCACTGTAGCTGGGATCATATGAACATTACGTGTCACTTGCGGTGGCATGAAGCGAAAGAAAACGCACAGCTGTTGTATTACCCTTTAAGTCGAACACGTCACTGCCGAATACATGCGGTCCGTTGTGCGTCACTGAATTCCGAGGCTGACAGAGTTTTTTTAGTTGAACTAAACATACAAGAACATCGCTATCGGCATTGTTGCTTTTGATACATTAAGGGTGCTTTCCATAGTAGCGAAAAGCGAGAACTAAGAGAATAAAAGGCAAAACCACGTGCGTGTTCCATGGTCCTACTAATTTGGCCTGCAGTGTCTTTTTTATTTTTTGCTAATTTCAGCGCACAAATAATGTTTTTCTTTGTTTGCAGATTCTCGAGAAATGTATTGCCATACTTACGATACTCCCCATTCTCGGCACTGGCCGGCGCAGAGTCGTCAATAGATTTTGGTGCCGGCCGGTACCCTAGCAAGAAGCTGTTGCGTACAACGGGAGGACTGTTCCTGAAACTGATCTGTGTGCGCGTAAATTTATTTCACTGTTCAGGACTAGGCCTTCATTTTACCATATGTCAATAAAAGAGTTCAGTCAGTCATGCCTTAGTACACAGTTTTCGCTATCGGTCTTGGTCAAGGGCCTTTTGTATTCCTAAATGAAATATAAACAAAGGCCGAACAACATTGTCAAAACTAACCTGACACTGAAATGAGTACTAGCGAAGTTTTGATTGTTTAGAAAATAATTATTTATCTACATACAGTTGTTTAATCAATATATTGCACTAGACGAAACAAAACATTCTTGGCTAACTATTATTGAAAATCACGAAAGGACGTGTAGTGGGACATAATGCTTTACTTTATATTCTTTATTAAGTGCCCGACTATGCGATATTGGCGCTGAGCAAGCCAGGCGTTATGAAATGCGCACACTGTGTCGAGTCAGAACAGAATTTCACATGACAAACAGAATAGTATTACAACCATATTAGAAATGAAATGGCTAGTTGTCTAAATATATGGCTGAACTCAAATAAAGACAAAAGTGTTTTTTTCAGAATCAACCAAGACTTCGACGACGTATTCCACCACGGATGTCACGTTTTTAAAATGTTAATCAACAAAATACTTAGATCTCATTCAGATGAAATTGTTCGCAGTTTCGGACGGCCCGCGATTCAAACCCCCCCCCCCCTCTCGATTCACGGCGATTGCCACGGGCCGCTTAATGTCAGACGCACCTAATAAGTATGTCAGACGCACCTAATAAGACCTTCACTCTTCTAAGTAGCTGCACTGTTAGTCTGTCCGGGCGGTGCCACCTCACATGAGTGGTTAATAAAAGTACTACGTTACGACAAAAACGACCACCAAGACAGAGCGCTTATAGGTACGGTGTGACACCTCGATGCCAGCATTCGTAACAACGCTGGCATCACAGCTAATCAAAGCGCCTTACCAACGCCATCTTGGTGGGTTAATAAGGCTTTTTCTTGTCATCACTTTTCTCGTAACTCAAGAGCTTGACAGCCGTGACCTTGGCACTGAGCTGCGACAATGTATCAGGAGGAAACCTCGGGGGCCACGAGCGATTTGACTCAGGAACGACGTATTTAGGTGGTTTTTCGGTCGCGTTGTGCACCGACACTCAAAATTGCTGCACTAGCAGCTAGGGACACGCCAGGGGAGGAAGCCGAAAGCCTTCAAGCATGCACCGCTCAAACTGAGAACTCAGCATCTCGTGTTTTATAGGGAAAGCTGTATATGGCTAGGGAAAACGGAAATACGTTTGGCTGTGGTATCACAAGTGACCTCAATTGAATGTGTTATCGGTCACGTAGTTCGCAGCGTCGAGCCAAAGCACACACGCCATTGGCTGCGTTTCGAATTACGTCGTTTATCCTGTAGCAGCCGTGGGGCCGAGCACGCGTGAACCAGTTTCTCTTGAAACCTTCCATTTGGGCATGCCATGGACGTGGTGCTCTAGGAGAGTGCTGAAAGCGGACACGAGAAAGAGCTTGCGCTTGCCGGGCCGATGGTGCAGTCCGGGCACAAAAACAGTCAAGAGAGGCCGAGTGCCGGTAGCAAATACGTACCGATGATCCGGCAGACTTCCAAGTCACCCTATATTGCGTGCAGAAAGGCAGGCATTGGTGGCGGGTGGATCGTGCAAACCACGCCGCCGAGTTCTCTCGCGATGTCAAACGCATGCAGCGTCGTTGCGGAGTCAACGTCATGATTGAGGGAGCGCGTTCGCTGGTGTGAACTCCCACTTTCGGCGGGAGTTTCTCCAGCGCCACATTGGATTCGGCTGCGATGTCTGTGACAGCCTGTGGTTCGAGAACAGCCTCTATCATTAACGCACTGAAGAATGCCTTTAACGGCTCATTGCACCCCTCCATGACCGTGATCATCATAGGCACAATGTGCGGCATGTGAAATATTGATTGATTCATATGTGGGGTGTACCTTCCCATAACGACCATACCACTATGACACGCTGTAGTGAAGGGCTCCGGAAATTTCGACCACCGGGGGTTCTTTAACGTGCAGCGATATCTGAGCACACGGGACTACAGCCTTCCCGCCTTTATCGAAAGCGCAGTCGATGTAGCCCGAATGGGATCCCGTGACCTGCGGCGGCACGTGAAATAAACACTGTGGTAAAACCAAGTCAAACGTTTGTCAAACATTAAGAAGAAGCAGGAAAGTGCAACGATTAATTGTGAAACACTCCGTTTCCACGTCGGGTTGAACCCACGAATTAACGGCAGCGTCACTCATTTCAGCTGTCAAGAGACATGTATCGTGCTGTTGTGGTTTTATTCATCTGTCTACCTATTACGCAACAAATGGACAGCGCATGCCACGTGACTGCCTCCAAAATGGTTTATGGCTGGAACACGTCACTTACCTGGCTATTACGTTATGTGGCGGCACTTTAATCACGTCACTAAATAATAAGTGATTTTAGCTCCGTAACTAGATGCTGCGTACAGATGCCTATTTTTTATGCTTGCGAATTCTTACGTGATGTTACATGATTTTGTCGCGAAACCAGATAAGTGATCCTACGTCATATTTAGCCACGTGACTTGCGTTACGTGCCGTTACGTTATTTCATCCACGTGTCTTGTTATTGCCTCATATAACGTTATTTGCAGTCGCGTGGCTATAGTAAGGTGATTCAACGTTACTTTTAAGAAATAAAATAGAATTCAAGGGCTCGTTTTCTTCGGTGGATGCTTGTAGGTTGATCGATAACTATCAGAAAATGATGGCGATAAAAATAAATTGCGTCTGTTCTTTATACTAGTCGGTGCATTCGACGTAGAATGCATGTACCTTAGGACCTGTAGCGTCGCCCACTTGACGCCATTGAGTTCGTGGAGATGCACTAATATTCTTTACTCTCTCAAATGAAAATCGCCAATGCCCCGCCGCATTTATTACAGTATATTTCCAGTATTTACAGTACGGTTTATTTAAACCTGACGTGAGTGCTCTACCGTAGAAGTACATTTCCAATGTTCATTAAACATAGTAGTCATACCTGCATCCCCACTTCACGCTTCACAAAGATTACAGTCTGCTTGACATGCAGTTGTGAGAGCTGGCTTCGCTCTGCGGTGGAACACTTAGTTGCCATGCAGAATTTATTGGTTCAATTTCTGCTGGAAACATGAGATTTTTAATTCGAAGCATTTCTCTGCATATTGTAAATACCTGTAGTGTCTATCTGCGCATCTAACTATGTATCTGTCTATCGATTATCTATCGAGCGGGCTTACGTCTAGGTGCTCTGATGATTCTCCGCTTAACTTGGGGTGAAGCAAAATTGGTACTGGATGCTAAAATGGTTTGACGAAAACGACTCGCTGCCCATGACCTAATATCACAATCCTGTCGCGTGCGTCATCAAACATTTGCCAAAAAACCGTGCACATGCGCGGGGGCGGGAAGGTGCCACTGGTATGCAGGTATTTAGTATGATCGAATTCCTCCGGAATCACGCCGACGAGACGCTACTATGCTGTGCAGATTATGGTTGGGCGTCGCATTTACCAATGCGTACGCGTTCCGCATAGGAATGGCTGACACTGCTGCATGCAACCATTGTGGCAGTGATGAAACGATTTGGCACATTCTGTGTGAATGCCCACAATACTGCTCGCAGAGACAGTCACTCTGCAATACACTCGATGAACTGGACAATCAGCCTCTTTCGGAAGAAAGACTCCTGCGCTGCCGACAGGACTTTATGTCGCAGAAGAAGGCTGTGAAGGCGCTCATGCGCTTCTTGCGATCAACCGGCCTGTCCAAACGACTGTGATCGGACCTCCCTGAATGTGTGTGCATGTGTTCTTTTTTAATTTATTTTATATCTCTTTATAGCTATCCTCTTTCCTACCCTTTTTCCCACCCCCATACAGGGTAGCAAACCAGTTCGTCTAAGTTAACCTCCCTGTCTCTTACTTTTAATTATTTCTCTCTCTCTCTCTAGTACGATCGAACGTTCAATACAGACTTTTGATCGTACGATTCAAAAAATGATTGGCAGATGAGATGTTTAGTGTGAATCAATGATACGTGAACTACGAATGAAAAAGGTTGATATGTTTTGAAATCAGCACAACGTTACCACCCGGACGAACGTGGTACACAGTAAGCGCAAGTGGAAATGTTATGCGCAATCACGTGTCTAGAGAAGATGCAAGTATGTTGTGTATAGTCATGTACCGATGGCCGAACCAACGTTTGAAATACCAGCACCAGCAGTTCGAGGCATGTAAATTAGACTTTACTTGACTTCCATGTCATGATTATCTTATTTGCATGTGGCCTTCCTGTTCGTTGTCCATGCACTCCACGTAATAAGAAATTTCGTATATGTGAAGCTAGCCAAACAGCTGTGAGCGCGTAATGAGTGTGTCATGTAGTCATATTTTACATATTACGCTTACCATGATTATTGTGTTTGGGTGTGTCATTTACCTTCGTCGTTCATTCAAGTCACTCAGTACCAAAGTTGGTATATGTGTAGCTGGCGAAATGGCTGCAAAGGCATCAAGAGCGAGGCATGTATTCATTTTCTTGCATGACACGCATGTCATGATTATCATATTTGCATCAGTTATACCCCCTCGTGATCCGTTCGCATCACGTAATACCGAATTCGGTATATGTGAAGCTAGCGAAACGACCACGAACGCATCGTGAGCGTGGTATGTACTCATGCTCTTACATGACATGCATGTCATTATCATCATGTTTTCACCAGCCTTGTACATTCGTCATTCATTCACGTGACGTAGTAACAAATTTAGCATATGTGAAGCTGGCGTAACGGCCACAAACGCATCGTGAGCGTGGTATGTGGTCATGCTCTTACATGACACGCACATCATAATTATCATGTTTGCTCCAAAAAAATACTTTCGTCATTCGTTCGCGTCACGTAATACAAAATTTCGTATATCTAAAGCTACCGACATGGCCGCG